TTTTTACACTTGAAACTTCACAGCAAAAACACTGTGAAGGTTTAAAAAAGTCGAACCTTCACAACAAAAACACTCTGAAGGTTACCTTCACAGCATTTTGCTGTGAAGTTTCAAGTGTAAAAAGCTGGTCTCACGGGTCTCACGAAAACAGGCTGGTCTCACGTGATCTCAAGTCTATATATATATAATTTCTGTACGTATATGTTAGCTTAGAAGATCAATGTGAAACAGGAACTTCTATCGGCGATCAATCCTCTATCAAAAGTATCGATCTTTCCGTAAACAAACGCAGTGGTGGCATTCTCGATAGCATCGAAAGTCTGAAAGGTATCCAAAAGGTTCTTACTGTGTTCCATCTGTTAAGCAATTATTGAGATGAATTTTGACAATGGATTTTTTTATGAAAATCAAGAGAATTTTGCAAAATGTTTGCACCTGATTTTACAAAAAAAAAAAAAAAAAAAAAAAAACTATTGATTAAGGTTTCAGACTTCAGACGTTTGTCAATTTATAAAAACAAACAGTCTTATTGATTCAGATTTCAGACTTCAGCACCACCTCTTATTAATCAGAAATAAAATAAGGCTTCAGACTTCAGCACTTCTAAAAAACCAAACTTCACCTAAATATCTAATACTTCAATTATTTTCTTGCAAGTAATCAAAACCTGGATAAATGCTCGAATACTGGTTGAACCTCTATTTTCGAGCAAGGCCCCCGATTACCTTTGAATTGGTTAAAAAGTAACCGGTTAAGGTTTTTTTGATTGATGGGTCAAGGGGTTGGTTATCAGATTGACCGAATTTGTTTAAAAAGGCGTCAAGCGGAGCTCCCTTATTAGTCAAACACGACCGCCTATAGTGGTAGGAGGACACAGGACCGATTATAGTAGTTTATAACAGCTATGTTTTGGCATTTTTTTATGGAAATCGGTTATGTTTGTTAAATGGACCAGTCATAACCAATCAAAACCCATCGCTATAGCTAGAGCTAAGCATTTGGGGCCGGTCAATGAGAGCGAACTAATTGAAATGGGTCGATCTATATTAGTTATGTAATCTTTTAGGAAGATCAGTTAAAGAGATCGATAAAAATGTACAAGGATTTGTACTATCTTTTAGGAAGATCAGTTAAAGAGTCCAAAAAAAACCAATTAAACCCGTTCAATCTAACTCGAATTTGATGATTTATTCATACAAATCACAACATTTTCAAAGTTTGGAATAAGACAAACATTGGTGAAACTTGATTTTTCATGATTTAGTGATTGACAAATATAATTTAATTAAAATAAACAAAGTAATCTTAAAATAAATTATATAACGTAAATTTCTAAAAAAATTATTTGAAACATATTTAATTACATTCATCTCCATCAGTTTGATTATATAATATGAATTATATTATTATAAATTGCATCAAAATGAAAGTTGATTCCTTGACATAGAAATAAAAGCAAAATTAATTCCATCTTAAGGTAATTTTTCCTATTAAAATATTTCATATTTTTCATAAAATATTATTTCTCTCTTTTTTGTACATTTAATTTCAAAAATTTTCATTTGTAGGAAGAATAAAAAATAATTTCATTTATAAGTAATATTTTTTAAGAATTGTTCAAATTTAGAGAATTTCACTCTCCTTTTCATTTTGAAAAAAGTTTTGAGAATCTGTAAAAAAAATGCACAAAATCTCCACTTTAGAGAATCTGTTAGATAAGCGTTAACCATATAAAATTTCCTTGACAGTTGGGCTTTAACCGGTGGTAGAATAACTGGCAAGAACCAAGCCCCTTTTAAGGTGTGTTTAGTGTCTTGACAAGACAAGACATAACATGATAAAACAACTGTTTAACATTTGGTGAGATAAATCTGAACAGAACAAAACAAATAAAATGACCAATTTACCCTTGATGAAGTGTTTATTTTAATTAATTTATGTAATTTATTAAATTACAATAGAATAATTATTTTTTATAACAAAATATATTATTTGAAATTTTCGTCAAAACAATTAAATGACACTAAATAAAAAGTTTATGTGGTTTTCTATTTTTATTTTTATCTCTTTTCAACATTATCTTTTAGGGAAAAGTACAATAAAAACCAATGAACTTTCTTGTTTGGAATGATTAAGTC